AGCTTGTTGGTTATAACCCGCAATTTAAAATATACTCTTCTATTTTATTATTATTATTATTGTTATTATTTTACATATGTTGTTTATTATTCATTGGTCAAAGTAATTCTTTATTTTTTGTCTCGTTTACCAAGTATTATTTATTGGTCAAGGAAAGTTATTATTTTTTGCTTATTTTCTGTAGTATTTTTTTAATTATTTTAAAATTTAATTTTTGTGCTTAATAATACTTCTAATGTAATTTTTAAGTATATGCATTTTATATACTAATACTAAACTTAACAATATGAAAAAGTAAATTAAAAATAACTTCAACCAAATCTAATCGAACTAGACACAAAAAATGATATAACATTATAACCCAACAATTATTTTGCAAATATGCAAAAACGTCCGGTGTTCTATCTCTTTTATCATCATCATCATATAATAATAAGTATAATACGGTGGAGTGGGTGTAGGTTATTGTATTGTGTGCATCACATCTCATTCTTCCAGCAGTGAGCTGAATTTTTTGAGTTGCACGCCAAATCTTTATCCTTGTATAGATAGATATTCAAATGTGAAATTAAGAAACGCAAAATTGTGAAATTCAAAAAAGATCGATGATCTAATTTTCATGGAAGAGTGACAACAAAATTATAGTGGGTAATTGAAATTAATTAATTAATAATAAATGAATTGAATACAAGCTGAAACCAAAATATGGAGCGGCTAGGTAGTATAGATCGAATAGCAAACCCCGGCCAGAGCAATTGCTAGTAGCGAATTGAAGATGCCCAAGTAAGCTTCTGAGTTATTAGAGCTAGGGACTCTATCCTTGAGGGCCTGACTACATGCATGAGGCTATGAACGCCCCCATGCAGTATAGCTTCCCATTGCTATGACTGTTCCGATCCGGGCAAGAACATATATAAACAAGAATGCAGCGCCGGCGAAGCCTGAAGGCCGGCACCACCATCAACAGTGCATCGGCCGGGTTGTAGACAGTGAATGATCGTATCCCAGTGGCAAACCCAACCTGCAGCTTAGCTTGTTCTTCTTCCCGGCCAATGGCTGCATGCAGTTTGAAAGCTAGCAAAAGCCGGTATGTAAAACACAGACTTAGTGGATGGATGAATTATAACAAGCAAAAGGCCAAAAGAATGAATTGAAGCACTATTATATTGCACTTGGGGTTACTGTACGTTACCACCTGAAACTTAAGACATTTAGCCCCGGCCCCAAAATTAAAATAAAATAAAATAAAAATAATTATAGTTTCAGAAAAAGTTACGTACTACAACACAAAAGTTATAATGTATGTATATCCAACTGAACTAATCCGCAAACATACACCACCCAACTCAATCAATATATACATTGTTAAGTGCCATAATATATAGTACAGTGCCTAGCTAACTTCACATACATTGACCAATAATGAATGGAAGTATGTAGTAGTTGACTTAATAAGTTGCAATAATTTTCATCCTGACCCGGCATCTTCGGTTTGCAATTGCCCCACAAATTGAAGTGGGTGTTTTGACTGTACTATTCACAGCCCCCACCCAAATGGCACTAATTAATCTAGCTTCTAAAGGGAATTAGAATGGATCGAGAACCAATATATGTCAATTCTTCTACAATATCATATCATATCTACAAGATATCAATAAAAGTAAATTATATTAAATGGAGGAGTACAGTACTTTTATTCTTAGACAAATAAGCAGTCTTGCATGAAATGTTATAGATCGAGGAACATCTATCATATGTATTATCAATTGATTAAAAAACATGCAATATAATGGTACGGTACGGTACGGTACGTGATGCCCTTTGTTGAATACTAATAAATAATTCAGCTGATCTGATAAGCTGCATGCAACTATATATGTTTTATCTGCATTTTCCATAAACTAAACTAAACAAATTAAAAGACCTCAAATGCGCAAACAGGGAATTAAATTTCAATAACAGAACAATGTTGAATTAACATGCAATGCATGCCCCAATCAAACTAGCTAGTACTTTAATGTGGTCGGTTGGATATAATTTGGATAAGCTGTATGTGTGAAAAAATGGGGATGGGGCTTAGCACCAATGCAAATTGTCTACACATTTAATTTGAGAATATATTAAAGTTTGGGGAAAACGCGCATTGCGACTTAATTGCACCAATAATGCAAGTTAGTGGGATAAGTCCCATCCACAACGACATACGTTCATGCCAATAATATAATGCCATTATATTCTATGCTATGGTTAAATGGACTCCACGTCTGGCATGGCTAGATAGGCTCATCTTATTTGTTGCATGCATGTCCCCCGGCCGCCATTTAGTTGTGTTCTTAACGTAACTTCAAAGTTAAGGAACCAATGCAATATTTTTAGTGTTCGTATTCAGATTTTCTTTTAATTAATTAAACAAAATAAAACACCTCAAGCACACCGAACGAATGAATTGAAGAACATCATCAATGTTGATTTTACAACCAAATTAAATCAGTCTTTACCTGGTCATGATAAACGATAATTAAGAAACAAATTAAGTATAATGCTTAAAAGAATTCGGAAGAAATAAAGTAATGTTATTGCTTAATTATTAACTTGTAAAAAAAAATTGTGACCTCTTATAAGTCATTTTTCAAGATATGTAATGTATACCGTTTAAATTACCAATTAAGGTACTCGAATTAAATATTGAAACTAATGAAATTCATATATCAAGGGCGATAATTACAAGTCTATTTACTAAAATATAAGGAAAGCAATTCCCTAAAATCAAATCAGAATCTTAAAGTTTTACTTTCCATAAGTGAAACAACGTGTCTCGCAAGTTTCAAGCTTATTGGACATGGGCCAATCACTTAGTCCAAATCCGACCATCTATACTAAAGAAACTCTTTGAATTCAACCCATCAATAAAATTATTTTAAAAAATGTATGAGCATTCAATTAAAATTTACGGTCTCTTTTATGAACTTAATTATACAAAACTATTACATTTTAATTAAAAATTATTAAACGATTATTCACGAGACATATTTGGTATTAAAAAAAAATACATTTTTGGGGTTCAATATAACTTCCCTCCAATCCCAATAAGCCATGCATGCACGTTTGTAGTCAACCATTTCCGATGACCAAGTAATTAAGTGTCTCTCTCCCCTATCCATTATATTAATTGGATTGGACCACTACCGTCTACCGACATACGATATTGGGGTAGCAGTTTTGAGATATTTTTTTGCCTCTTCATCTCCTTCCATAGCACATTCTGAATTATTATGATCAATTGAAGACGTCAAAAAAAAAGGAAATAAGTCTTTATTCATCATCGTCTAATATATGAGTGATCATTACTTAATAATTTTCAATCGTTAAAATATATAACTCATGATGTACTTTTTTCTTTCTCTCTACAGTTATAAAAGACACAAGAAATTAAGAAACAAATGAGATGTATCTTTCACACCCAATAAATATTTTTATAGTATACACAGGAAAATAACGGTACATATCTCTTCGTTTTAAATTTCATTACTATCTATGATAATTCATAATCTGATTCATATATAGTACTGTACTGTATATATTCCTTCATATGTATTAGGTATATGTAGTGCGTATATATTCCTTCATGAGTTGTTTTTTTTAAACTTGATTTTAATTTTTTTTACTAACCGTTATAGAATCACTTACAACGTAATAACAAAGAGATAAATGACATATATCTTTTATACCCAATAAATTATATTACAGTATATTCGAACAAAATTATTGACATAGTATCTTCAAAGTTTTAATAACGAACGCTTATGGTTGACAAGGGATATAACGTACACAGTGGGAGAAATTTTTGATTTTTTGAAATGGTATGCGGTTGGTGAACTGTATGCTCGGAAATCAAACAAGAAAGAAATAGCTCACCAACTAAAATCTCCATCCTTCATGATTCATGAATAATTAGGTATTGAAATTATATCTATCTATCAGGATTAATATTAGATCAGACAATGAATTAAATGTGCATATTCGCATTATATATAATTGTAACGCTAAAAAGGTGTAATCAGTTTCAGTAAACCACCAAGTGCTACAAATTTGGACCAAAATCTTTTGATTTTTAATTATATACTAAAATTAGTCATTATCACTCCAAAAAAGGAGGAGCGCATGCAAAATATTGGATGGACATAAAATATAAACTTATGAAGTTATGGTAACCAGCTCTCATTTGAAATGTCACAGCTATGTCACTCGACCACAAGGCGTTTGATTATGTAACCAGTTTGGTTGCACTCTCATCCCTTAAGAGATAGATGTCGGGAGTTCAAATTCTCTCTCGTATAGAAAAATCAATACTTTGCCTCTTATTTGGACCGACTAAGTGTGGATAGAGATTAATCTGAATATAAAATACAGATTTAAAAGTGTCTATATGAGTCTATGCAGGACTAACTCATAGTTTGACAAAAAAAAAAAAAAAAAAAAAGATATATATATACTTACGGGTTAAATTTGCACACAAATAAAATTTCGTATGACGGTGTAATATAATCCAAAAAGGTGAATCCCCTAATTGTGGGATTTTATCTTTTAGTGAGAGCTTTCCTTAATCCTACTTGGAGATTTGAGCATAATCTGAGTGCTTTAAAACCAAGAAAATTGGTAATTAGTGATGGATCTCACTCGTTAGTCGTTATGACAATCAACACGCTTCAGAAGAAGGAGAAGAATACGTTACAGATTTAGATTCAGTGGTTGGTGACCCTACAGCCAACCCTCTGCCACCGCCCAATCACAGCTCAACACGTCATCTCACCAGCACCGCAACGCGCGAAGAAGAATAGTGCTCTTGCACCCCCCGGATATACCTTACTTCCGTTGTCGGACAGCCACTCTTCTCACCTTCCTTCATCCAACCAAACAAAATTAGAGGAATTATCTTCACATTTACGTGTGTGTATATAATATATTTTTTTTTTATAAATATATTTATAATTTAGATTTGATTTATTTTTTTGTGGGTGTACCAGAGTTTCCACCGTCGCTATTCATTCCAATTTCACTGAGTCCGGACGGAAGACTACCAGTCTTTCATTCCTACCAGGATAGGGTAGCCACTGACGTATATTGCTGCTCTCTGCTTTTTCTCCTTGTCGGATTACCAAATCGGAAAGAATGTCAGAAGATCAGCCATTGTTAAGAGACTTAGAGGCAGGGAAAATGAGTGATGCCAAAAAACCCATTGCTGCCGCAACCACAAAACGCTCATCTCCTGCTCGCGTTGCGTCTCTTGATGTGTTCAGAGGCCTCTGTGTTTTTGTAAGTCTTGATTTGATTCACTACCTTAGTCCTATCAGTAGTTAACCAGAGATTGAAAGAATTGTTTTTTTTTTTTTTTTTCCCAATCGTTCCAGCTTATGATGCTTGTGGATTATGGCGGATCCGTTTTCCCAATCATCGCTCATTGCCCTTGGAATGGTTTGCACTTGGCCGACTTCGTAATGCCTTTCTTTCTTTTCGTCGCCGGAGTTTCCCTGGCAATTGTTTATAAGGTACCGCTACATTGCTTCCTTTGTTATTAGTTCTATTTCACTTTTACAGCAGTTGATTAGATTACTACATTCTTTAATTAACACGACGTTCCTATTTCTGATCCAATCCCAGAATGTTTCCAACAGATTAGAGGCTTCCAAGAAGGTTGTGTTAAAGGGATTAAAACTTTTTGTCCTTGGTATTTTTCTTCAAGGTAATTAAATTATTGGATCTGCTTCTGTACTTCCATCTACACACTTTATGGGATCATTCTTATTTTCCCTTCATTGATCAATTGCTGTGGTATCCTTTGGATAAATCCTTCCTGATATTATTGAGTTATTATAAACTGTAAATTTTCTGTGCTAAAAATCTAGTCTTTCAATATTTACTGTTGATCATTAGGGCTTAGTTGTCCGTTTCAGGTGGTTACTTGCACGGAATAACTTCTTTGACATATGGGGTCAGCATTGAAAGAATAAGATGGCTGGGAATTTTGCAGGTATCACTTGTTAATTCTTGATTCCTTTTAGTATGTCACTTAAATAGTTTGAATGCTTTGGGATCATAATGCCTTGCCTTGTTACAGAGGATAGCTGTTGGGTTTGTTGTTGCCGCATTGTGTGAGATATGGCTTCCTCGCCGAAAGAAAACAAAAGCTGGTTTCTTCCTTAATTATATCTGGCATTGGTAAGTTGTTCACAGCTGAAAAGTTGATGATTTTTATGAAAAGGCTTTTGAAACTTCTAGCAGACATATACTTAAGGTCCACTGCTGTTTGCTGGTCTTGTTTCGTTTATTTACAGGTGCACTGCATTGGCGCTGTCTGCCATATATATGGGATTATTATATGGTTTGTATGTTCCCAATTGGCAATTCAGTGTACCCCAGTCAACTTCCTTACATTCATCCAATGAAAGCCATGTTTACAAGGTTAGGGCAGCAGCTTTCTCCTTTGTCCTACTCACTAAATCGGTTATTTGAGTAAACTTCAATTCTCTCTTATGGTACTAATATAATATATTGTGTTAATTAGAATCAGGCTCTTGGAATTTCCTACTGAACTTCACATGAAATTGATGGTATTGGAATTTAGATAGTTTGTTTTGCCACTTACAGGTTAATTGTTCTGTTAGAGGTGATCTAGGACCTGCATGTAATTCAGCTGCAATGATAGATCGTTATATTCTTGGAATTGATCATCTCTATGCGAAACCTGTATATAAAAATCTGGAGGTAACTTTTTCCCCATTATTATCTGCAGAAAATCATATCTCTGCATTGTAGTACTATTTTTATATAACTAATAATTTTGCTCTTCATAGGAATGCAAAGTATCCAATCCACCTTCATGGTGTTTTGCTCCCTCTGAACCTGAAGGTATTTTAAGGTAAAGATTCCATCTTTCTTTTATCTATCTCACGGTTGACTAACTGCAATTGTGCCTCAATTCAAGTTTGCTGCTATGTACTGATTCTGTAATTATAAAGGTTATTTTGTTTATTCATTATTTTAGGATGTGTTAGTCACATGTAAGCAGCTTTTCCATTCCTCTATGAACAGCTCACTAACAGCTGCTGTGGCCTGTATTTTTGGACTCCAGTTTGGTCACATCCTAATACAGTTGAAGGTAAGGCATTTGAGGTTTATCCTTTACAGAGCTTTGCCTACCTGAAACATTAATCAATCAAATAATTGTTTTACGTATAGGACCATAAAGAACGGTTGTACAATTGGGCCATCCTTTCATTTCCAGTTTTGGTTGTTGGATTGTTCCTTGCGTTCATAGGTATGTCTCCACTATAAGCATGTATGTTTGTCAGACCTGATAAATGATGTATGTTTACAGCATGAGATGTAAATTATTTTTCTGATATTTGCCTCACAGGTATTATACCTCTGAACAAATCTTTGTACTCAATAAGTTACATGATGGTTACCTCAGCAACTGCTGGAATCACGTTATGTGCTCTGTACCTACTGGTTAGTGTTGAAATGATATATTCACATAGTAGTAACAAGCATTATAGTAGTGCTATTGTTAACGCGTTTGGTGTTGAATGTTAAAGGTTGATGTGTTTGGGCAGAGGCGGCTAACGTTGGCTTTAGAGTGGATGGGAAAGCATTCCCTAACCATTTTCATCTTCTTAACTTCTAATATAGCTTTCATTGCTGCACAAGGCTTCTATTGGAGAACCCCAGAAAACAACATCGTAAGCAAGCTAGCTAGCTTCAAATTAAATATGTTTGTTTGTTTAGTACAGCATTGTGATTGATATGAAAAATGGAAAACTAATTGCATGGTGGTTGTGGTGTTAACTAGGTTCATTGGGTTGTATCACAAGTGGTGCACAGACCATAATAACATTGGAGCTCCAGCATGCATATTCATTCATTACTACTTACTAGGAGGAAAGAATGTTGTTTCAAGACATTCTTAGGTTGGTGTAATGTGAAGGCCAGGCTTGGCTGATAACCAGATGCTGCTGCTACTGCTGCAGTTTTCCGCATATTATTGCCTCCTTGTATAGCATTGCATCCATGGCTGTCGTCTCTATTACGCGATTGCATCCATCATCATTTACTTTTAGTATTTTTTACTCTCTGCTCTGCTCTTCTCTTCTCTTCAGAATCACTTTGTATTCAAACCTTATTATTATTATTATCATTATTATTATTTGAATTATTTGAATCTGTGGATTACAAATGCTGAAGGCAGCAATAGGTTGAACAATGAAGAGAGTTTGGGGTTGGGCTGAGCATTGATAACAATTAACAAATATCATACAAAGAATTGAGAGAGTGGGGAACATAATTACAACACAACACAACACGTTTTCGAGCCACACAATATAATATATATATATATATATATATATATAGACACACACACACAAAAAGAGATTCTTCTCTTCTAGACCACAAGAGGCTGAAACTAATCCTTTTGACTGCACTGACAATTCTGCAATCTGCCTACGAGACGGAATATTATCATATCTACACTATATGCTTGTATGCTTAAATTAAATAAATATCAAGGTTGAAAAAATTACTAGACGCCCGAGAGCACCTAGACAGTGTCTAGGTGCCGATTAATTGGTGCCTATAAGCGATTTTTACAACACCGATAAATATATGATGCGTTTAATAACATAATTAGCTTATAAGTTAATTTTGACTTATTTAATCATTATTAACTATTTTAACATGGTTAAATGGTTAAATAGTTAATATAAGTGTTTGATTAATTAGATTTTTTCAACTTATTATTTTAAAACTCTAAAATTTAAGAAGTTACTCAAAACAACTTTTACGATCAGTTCTTTGAGAAAATTACTGACAATTAATTTATCAAATATCTTTCTACAATCAATTAATGATATCAACTAGACAAACTTACTAACACAATCAGTTAGCAGCTATTTACTCAATTCCCCATAATAAAATCATACTCCCTTCTTGTCATAACTGCCCAACTACGTTCGCATAAATAAGATTTGAAGATAATAATCTTTGTATTTTCTATATAAAATTCCATTATCAAACAACTTAAGGTGAATTGAAGGAGACAGGATGAAAGTACATGGATGACAGACCATACGTACACCTAATAAATAACCCAACCAAAACTCACATGTCACATATCTTTATAATCTTCTTCTTAATTAAATATAAAGTACTGCTTCTATCATGGCTTAGCTTTCTGTTAGATAAAGTATGGAAGAATGGAGCATATGATGCAACAATATGATTTTTAATTATTAGCGATATTAGAAACAATATGTAAAGCGTAGTGACTTTTTCTTTATATTTATTTGATTACAAAAGAAACTAGTAATATTTGATTAACATACTTCGTGTAGCACATATTGACTCAATTTTTTTTTTAAAAAGTATATGGTAGTTTAGTTGGTGCAATTAATTATGGAATATTGGGTGAAATGGGTAGAAAGGATGTGACGCGAGGTATCAATTAAGTATGGATGGATATTGGATAAGGATGTGAAATATTTATTTAAGAAAAAAAAAAAAAAAGTGGCACATTGTTGGCTTATTGGGGTGTACAGATATTAGACATGCAACCTTGCTGCGTGTCCAATCTCCAAAACGGCTGATGTGGGGCACGTGCTCGTCTACCTTTCTTCCTAACTCTACCGTTACACTAAAAATGTAAGATTAAACACAAATTGAATTGCATTATATTATTAATAAAAAAAATAATGGATGAGAGTATGTTTTTACAAAAAAAGACGTGAAAGAAAGGAGGTTTTCCGTTGGGTGAGCAGAACGAAGCCCAAGGCATGATTAGGCATCACATGGTTTCGCTGTCTTTCTGGGCCCACTTCACCTCTCTACTCTGTCTCTTCTTTACTGGTCCCCACTGGTTTTGGCATTTTATTTACTGTTTTTGAATTTTAGCTTTCCCAAAATGCCCTTGTCTCTGTCAATAAGATCCTCCTCCTTTCATTAACCCCTTCTGCTTCTTTAACTCAACCTGCAGACTGCAGTGCGTAGCTAGCTAGCTTGGAGTAAGTAGAAGAAGAAGAAGAAGATGTCTAAGGAAGTGAGCGAAGAGGGACAGGCTCCCCACCACGTTGGCAAGGACTACGTGGACCCACCACCTGCACCGCTCTTGGACTTCAGCGAGCTCAAGCTCTGGTCATTCTACCGTGCCGTCATAGCCGAGTTCATAGCTACCCTCCTCTTCCTCTACGTCACCGTCGCCACCGTCATCGGCCACAAGGAACAACAAACCGCCGCCGGCCCATGCGACGGCGTTGGCCTTCTTGGCATAGCATGGGCCTTTGGTGGCATGATCTTCGTCCTCGTCTACTGCACTGCCGGAATTTCAGGTGAAATATGTATATATTTTTAAAACTAGTCACACAAATGTATATTTAACTGAACTGAAGTGTGTACGTAGGTGGACACATAAACCCGGCGGTGACATTTGGGTTGTTTCTGGCGAGGAAGGTGTCTCTGGTGAGGGCTGTGTTATATATGGTAGCACAGTGTTTGGGTGGCATTTGCGGAGTAGGGCTGGTGAAGGCGTTGATGAAGGATTACTATAACAGGCAAGGCGGCGGTGCAAACTCTGTTGGGCATGGCTACAGCAGGGGCACGGCTTTGGGTGCTGAGATTATTGGAACTTTTGTCCTGGTTTACACAGTGTTTTCAGCCACCGACCCCAAGAGGAACGCCCGCGACTCTCATATCCCTGTAACTATCCTAGCTAGCATAATTGTTTGTGTATGTTATATATGCATAGTACGTATTATTATAATATAATAATAATAATAATAATAATAATGTTGGTTTGGGTGTAGGTTTTGGCTCCTCTTCCCATAGGGTTTGCGGTGTTCATGGTTCACTTGGCCACCATCCCCATCACCGGCACGGGCATCAACCCCGCGAGGAGCTTTGGCGCCGCCGTCATCTACAACAATGGCAAAGTGTGGGATGAGCACGTAAGACCCATTAGTTAATTATATTATATAATTATTATATAGTTACAAGGGTTTGAATATAATATATTAATGAAATGAAATGTGTGCAGTGGATCTTCTGGGTTGGACCGTTTGTTGGGGCGTTGGCGGCAGCGGCTTACCACCAGTACATCTTGAGAGCTGCGGCTATCAAGGCTTTGGGATCTTTCCGCAGCAACCCAACCAACTGAACGGAGCATATTAATTCAAAATATTAGGAGATCAGAAATCAATCATCTTAGCTTTGCCATTTTAATTAGTCTTTATTATTATCGTGTGTCTGTGTAATCATTTCCTATTATATTTTGTTTGAGCTAGACAATGTTTAATTTTGGTGTCTATGTACTCCGATCCGTAGTATTTATTATTGTATTTGGTATGGGAGTTAGAAATAGAAATAGTGTTTTTCTTTAATTGTAATTGCCAGCTGCCACCTTTTTTATTTCATCCTCCTGCTGCCACTGGGCTGGGCTGGGTAAAGTAAAACATATATACATGTATGTTGTAAAACCAGTAAAGTAATTAAAGAAATATATATGCATGCATTACATTAAAAAATGGCTAGGCCCTAGGGACTATAATGAATCACCCATCTACTAATACAATTTCAAACATATTATATTATTATTTAAGACGTACAATAAAAATATACTATAGAATGTTATGAGTATAATAATAGGGTGTGCGCATGCATCTTTATGTACAGTCCCGATCGACAATATATGGTTAGCGTAGAACAACATTGGCATTGGCATAATAATAATAATAATGTATGTGTTTCCTCAAAAAAAAAAAAAAGTATAATGTATGTGTAGTGTTGGAAAATTGCGTGCTGTCAATCAATCAATCAAACGATGCTTTCGATTTTTGAACCACCTCTCCTCATCTTTCTTTTTACCTTTCTCGAAACACGCATTGACCGGTCCCTATACTGCTGCTTGCCTCACGACACGTGTCCATCTGGAAAACCCAACAAACAAATAAAGTTTCAGGAGCATATGCTGTCGCAATTTTCCACTAAAACTTTTTCTTCTAATCTTGTATTGCGATATCAGTCGGTAAGAAAATAATAAACTAATTTAAGTTGTTTATAGTCTATTAGTTGAAACTAAAAAAGTTGAGATTCAAATTCGTAATTCTATAATTATAAGTTTGTATTTTTAATCATATTGGTTGGAATTAACATTATTTTGTTTTGGAGAAAGGATGTGTGAGGGCCCAATTGAAGGAGGAAAATGGGAAATGGAAAATGATGGCGTAATGAATAAAGATAGTGTTGTGTATTAGTTAGATGGAAAGTGGGCTGGCCAATCTGGCATGACAATTGGATTGAAAGAGGTGTGTGGCCTGTGGCCCTTTTGGACTTGACGACAAGGAACATGAGAGAATGCAGAGTGGTGAAACAAAAAGGTTAAAGAAGATGATATCGAGGGTGAGTGATGGCCGGCCTGCACCTCCATTGAATTGGCACCCACTTTGGAACACGCCTCCCATCCCATCCCATGTGACTGAGGTTAGGATGCCACCGGCCCCCCGGCCCCCATCACATCACTCATGCTCAACACTACCGTCTACTCTACTCATCAAACCCCTAATCTCCATACTTCAATTCTCAACACAAAACTAACTTATGAGATATAACCCAGCTCTACAAAATTGTTCTCTATACATCTTTTAAGTAGTAATTGTAAATTTTTCTAGTAAAAAAAATTTTACTCGAAACCAAGAACCCAACATAAACCAGAATCACATTTTCTCATTTTGATTCAGAAACTGAAACATCTTCGTATTTACTTACTACTATCATTGGGACTGCATGATGGAGCAAGAAAATAGTACAGTACAGTACAGTGTTCCTCAAAAGCATGCATGTGAATATTATATTGCTTCCAATTAATTTCATGATATATTTTTTTTCCTAATTGAAAATGCATCACAAATTCACAGTACAACGTAACGTACCTAACTTAACTAAACTTGATGAAGTCCACTTAGCTTGCTTTATTATTGATGGGTGGAGTCATTTTCAATTTATTTAATTATATATTGGAGTACATAATAATCGATCACAAGAAATTAATTAAGAAACCTATATAATTGAAAATATTCCGAGTGGTAGAAGAGAACAAAGAATAGAATGAGCCCACATTTTAGAAGCAGAAGTAGTGTGGTGATTAGTGTTAGGAGGAGGAGGAGGAGGAGGAGGAGGAGGAGGAGGAGGAGGAGTTGGATTATTTGAAGAAGAATTTGTGGTTTCGCCTCCACGCCCACTTTTCATTACATTAATCCCAAACCTCATTCCTCCCAGACAATGCCCGTCCTTGTCGCATACAAACCAGTACTTTCTTGCTTCCTTCAGCTTCACTTGGTCGTTTCCGCTTTCATATTTGCCTAAAACTCCACTGCTTGTGTCGCATGACTGGTACGTAGACTCTGTTACCTCGTACACGTTATGTTGCCCCTTAACATACTTGAACACTGCACCAATTCGAACAAAATTAAATTCTTGAAATCCTTCCTAGCTATAGCCTATATATGATGCATGGGTGGAGGCCGGATCTGATCAACAAATAATAATTCAAAAACAATGAAATATATGAAGTACGTACCAAGAACGTCGTCGGCCATGAACTTGTGTTTTTCCGACCACGCAAGATAGTTTGTTCCCGAGCTCCACTCATCTCCATCGCCTCCTACAGTGTAAGTTTCAGACTTGGCAGCATCCAGAAGAACAAGGCAACTCAAAAAGATACGAGTACTCATACTCATAGGGATGAAGGAATTGAAAAGCTTGATCACTTGCGTAGCCATGGCTATTGGCTAGCTAGGAGAAATTAATGGAAGATTGATGGAATAATACTCCTAAATTAAGGGAGATGGAATTGGGATTTAAAATGTTAGTGGTATTATAATATACACGGAGATTGCGTAAGAGATGAAATTCCAGCTATACATACAGTGATAGATGTCTGCAAAAGTGAATAGGTGTTGTATCATTTTGTTTACTTGGTAGAGCCTTGCTAGCAATAATAATTAATAGAGCGACGGCCGCTCATAAATCATAATTGGTAATGATTTGTGATCCTAGTGGCAAAGCTTGATATCCTCTTAAGAAATAACAAGCGTGTAGTATAGAATAGGATAGATCCTGCTTAAGGTTTATTAGCACTCAATGTGGCTAAGAGTATCAATAATAATAATAATAATTAGTTCAGGTATTCATAGTATAGTGTCAATAAATGGAGAGACCATATTTTTACTACTTTATGCAGAAACTTGGGCTTTAGAAACGTTGACAAATGAAAAAGGAAGTAGTAAACATGATAAAGCTCACAACATCCACTAAATGAATATTAGCAATACAAAGTGTATGGTGGTAAGTCCTCCACACGCATCCAAATTTACAACCCCGCAAACCAAAACAGAAAGCATGGACACACACTACTACCAAGTTTCCTGAAAAATTTTCCCAAATCATAAATGTATAAAAATGAATGAATAACAATGTCAACAATGAATGAGTTCTATAACTCCTTTGACTGATTTGTTACAACTTTCCCAGCCCACAACAAGAGCCAAGTTATTTACTCAACTGCCTCCTCAATTTTTTGAGGGATAGCCATAAAATAATTTTCCACCACCACTGAAAGATTCAAGAAAGCTTAGTCAACAAAGTATAGCAGCATCCATGATTACATCTCAAAAATATGGGTGCTACCTGGCCCTCAGGTTGCAAACAATGAACAATACCCCAACTGAATGAAACACCAAAAGCATTTCCCCTTGAGCAATAAGATTGGCGAGTTATCCACATTGCAATAGACGATGAATGCAACTAACCCTTTATGGTGCACTATGTAGCAGATGTTTAAACTCCTCGCACTCTGCTCCAATTTCACTCAAAGCTAAGAAAAGCTTTGGCACAATCTTTGCTAACATTAGCTTGAAACCAACTGAATTTGCATGAGCATCACTGTTACTGCTAACAGAAGCATCTGGTGTTAGAGAGCCAATAAGGTAACCCTTCATATATGCATCACATGCTTTGAGAATGTAATAACCGCGCCTCTTGAAGTGCTCTTTCACAAGTTCTTCAAAGTCCTACATACAATCATGAGATTTGGAAAAAAAAAATCAATTCTCCTTTGAAGAATTAAAGCCAGAGAACCAAATTCTAGCATCGGTTTCAACTTCACAGCCAGAAAATTATATTAAACGCAATCAAGAGTCACTTGGCAAGTAAAAAATGTGAAAATCAAAGTACCAATCACCTTAAGGGGTTTCCGCATCAGGTACATCATTGTTTTGCAGTTCAACAAGAATGTATTCTCATTATAGGACAGAGAATTTTTCTCTCCCTCAGCAGTTCCAATTTGCTTGTCATATCCAGCTTCGTTGAAATATGGTCTGGCATTTAAAACTAACCCTTGAAGCGAAACTAGGACTTGAAAAATGCTCGAGGATGAAGGATCCCAAATCTCATTTCCTCTACCTGTCCAGGTATTTAATAGGCTAAGGCAAACTTTGCCTTCCTCATACAGATTTGGATTAACTCGCCACCCTCCAGAGTGATAATATGCTGACTAGAATCCAAGAGAAACAGTCATAAAATGAGTTAAAACAAATAAATATGTACTCATATTCATAATCATTTTATGGATGGGTATAACAGTGTCTTTCTAAGACCATAGGATTAGGGAAAAAGAAACATGAAATTAGATTTTTATGGGCCCAAAGAAAAAGTTCATCAAACACTCTTACAGGTGCAATATCAGGGTACTCTGGCGGAAGGTGAAAATCAAAGAAGAATAAGCCATCCTGGTAAGGTGTGCCATACGCTCCAACAATCACTGCCCTCATAAGATCCATTCGGTCTTCATACACGCGTACAAATATGCCATCTATTCAAATATATCCATCGTTAAAACCAAAGCATATGAATTGTTTCAACATGCATATAATAAGAACTACACAGTTCGTCATAGATATGGAAAAGTGATAAAAGATACCAGGCAAGTTATTCTGAAGGAAGATCCAATCCTGTTGAACTTTCCTAAGCCACTTCCTTCCAGCATTGTTCTACAAAAATAAACAACAATAGTACAGAGACCAGTTAGAGTTTCCTCGTAATGTAAAAAACTTTTTTTGCAAATCCAGCTGAGTATGTGAAAATTGATCAGATTTACAACTAATAATAAATAAATAAAATAAAATAAAGGGAGGAAGCTTAAGGTACAAAATAGGTCATTGTACAATAAGAAAGTTTATTCACCAAAGACAGTCAAGAACGAAATAATTAACCTGAGCAGTTGCACCAACAAAATAATGATCGTGAGGATCTGTTGTGATATCGAAGTTTTTGAAAGCATATGCTCCATCTTTATGTTGCACTGATGCATTAGTGGGTTCTGCCTTCATATTACTGAGAGCTTCTGCCACATCTGACGGGTCTATGGCCTCCACAGCAACATTGTCCTCTCTCTTTTCAATAGACAGAGTTCCAATGTATTGCATGTCACTGGACCTTTGGCAGCATTTATCATCACCAGTATCCATTCTTCTATCCCATCCCTGATTTTGGATCTCATCTTCACTTCTGGAATCTGAACTTGGGGAATCTGTTTTCTTCCGTTCCCTTGAGAATATTCCAGAGGCCAACCTGGATACAAATCCAAATGCAGTAGCCAGAGCTCCATTCACTCCAGAATTTTCCATATCCATTAAACTGCCATCACTTTCAATACTGATATCAGTAGCACTTTGTGCACCCAGGTCCTAAAAAGTAGACAGCATTGTTCAATATTGAAGATATATCATACTGAAGTTCAAATCTAGAAAGGAAACAGCAATTCTGTGATTTGCTAATTTACTATGTAATTTAACAATCCCTTTCATAGGTAGATCATATTTCTTCTCACAAGTCAAAACACATTTTCTGAAATCAGGATACATTACTTTCTCTGGATGTTGGAATGGCAATAATGGCATTCAAAGAAATTTATCAATATATTCACAATAGATCTTACTCTCTTTCAAGTTTCAAGATTCCCCTTACCCCACATATACTAATGAACCAAGGCTTCTGAGAGCACCATTTTTATTGGGTAGTAAGAAAATCCAAACCCCAAATCCAATCTAAATATAGTAATTAAATGTAATGGACATATGACACTCATCCTTGAATTGTTCCACAAAAAAGATAATTAAAATAGTGTTAATAACATCGTTCTAGCAGTAACCAACCTCTTTTGGATTCTCAGTGTTATTTAATTCATCGTCTTCAACTGTTTCCCAGCTTGCTGCATCATCACTAATGTCACTTCCAGAAGCAGCCATAGACTCATCATCATCGCGACCAACAACATAAATTGCTTGTGGCCCAACCTAACAAACATAAAAACTCAATTCAATATAATTGGTGTTGTTATTGTTATCGAAAAGTAAATTTAGAGCATTCAAAAGAAGATACTGCAATCATAGTCCGTATGCTATACTAAGTGGAAATTTGAAAGACAAATTTTAAGAGTTTCCTAATCTCATTCTGATGTTAAATATGATAAGGGAGTATCAAGAACCGTAAAGATCTAGGAGTTGATAATGAATTAAATTTATTTATTTACATCCCATTATCTGATTGGACAAAATGTAGCATATGAAAATATGCTCAATGTAGTTACTACTCTCATAAGTTCAAATACTATATTTGTGATAGTCATCAGTCATGAAAATGATTACTTCAACTCAATATAATTTACTATCCATAAAAGTAATAAGAAGCGTATTAGGAGAATAAGATCCCCTATCTAAGCTGTTAAAATGTAAGGGGGTAAGGTGGAAAAGGAAAATAGAAGCAGCAGTGGAAAACAATTCCCAAGTAAATAATTAAAAACATGACACCTTCATTTCCCAATTGAAGATAGAGAAATTGTAAGCTGCAAGATCTACACATACCGTTGATATCATCCCATCAGCCCACATAACTTCAATGTCACCATTTTTAAGCCCTATGATGTTCCCAACCCAGGAGAGATCTGAAAACTGTGTACAAGACTCATCACTCAATGTACTTCCATCGTTCTTGCATCCTAAATGCATTTTCTGATCTTCTTTCACCTCATTTGGACCACCCTGTTGCTTACACTTACCAATGGGACTCTCCGAGGAATTGACTTGTGGTGGAATAGGAACAGATGACAACCGAACAACTACATCTCCATAACAGTAATCATAGTCAGGATGCCCCTCCAACTCATATACACTGACCATTTCCTCTTTATCAAATTCTTTGAGATCCTCTGCTCTGGTAACTGGCTTTAACCACCTCACACAGGCTGTTCGCTCTTTTGCATTGACACTTCTTACAACACCAACACGTCTAGTTTCGCTAACACCCTCAGCATCATCAGCAGCTTTCTCCACTACGTACTGTTCAGCAACAAATTCATGATCTCCTGGGTTATCAATAGGAATCAAGGATGTGGATTCCAAACCTCGTTCTATTGTTCCATCTTGCCAAGCAACATCAACACGTGACTTAGTATTCGCAATCAGAAGGGCTCTTTCAAAGTTCTCCTCTTTTTTCCGAGCTTTCTTATCCCTCCTGACTACAGCTCTACGAATCTTTCTTCTATGAATTGGCCAGCTCTCATGAATTGGTTCCTTAGAGACATGCAATGTGCTACCAGATGAACTAGATTCCAGAGGGACTTTGTTTTCTAAATTATCACAGCTCCAGTCCATTGAAGAGTCAGCATCATTATCTATGGATTCACTATTGCAATGTGACCCCTCTGAATCACAATCTCCTCCAGTCTGGGCAGATTCAGAAGCTTCTTCTTTTGTAGAATCACTAAGATCCAATTTCGCTAATCCCTGTTCCAAGAGGTTTGAAGATGACGGAGGGGGTGAAGGAAGAAGACACCAGTCACCCAACTGCCAGTTTGCATGTGCAAAGCATGATATCAGCTTCAAGTTTTTGGGACTTTGTTCTTGAGCTGGAGGAGTGGAAGAATCGGCTCCATATCCAGCAGAAGCAATCCAATAAATGAACACTGACCCAACAGTAACTTTAGTTACTGTACCTTCCAACCGGCTAGCTTTCCAAAAGCCAGATAGCCACCTTGAATTCTTGAAAACAGATGAAGAGATTGCTTTTACACGCTGACCTGGATAATAAGGGAAATTCCCATCTTCAAGGCTATTCCTGCCAACTGGTTTAAGACGTAATGGGTCTGCCTTCATAACTTTGCATAGAGAACCATCATCAAACATCACTGTCACATTATCTAAAACATCATCAATTCTACCAAGCCAGGGACCAAGCACAACATAGTCACCAACTGTGAAATCCCTGACACGTTTCAACTCTCTGGTTGAGATGTCTTTAACAAAAGATCCATCATGGTTTAATAAATTAACAGAAATATTAATGTCAACAACAAGACCAACTTGGCCTGTTGGGTCAGCAACAGCAGCAATGTAATCCCCTGGTAGAAATCCTCTGTCAATAACTGTGACATCATTAATAGACTGGATTGACTCAGTTTCATCCATCCAAAGGACTCTAACTTGGTCAGCTAAAAGATGATCATTATTGTGGTTACTTTCCATGTTCTCTCCAGTGCACCCATCAGCCTTGTCATTATTCTCCAGGTTCCCTTCCTCATTGGAATCATCTTCTTCTTCATCCTTAGCATCATCATCTTCTTCTTCATCCTCATCTTCATCATCACTAATGCCACTATCTGAATCCGAATCACCAGGAGCTTCAGTCACTATCCCTATCTTGCCATCAGTTTTGCTTGTCACAACATCTTGTCTGAAGATATATGATACATTTTTAAGATTCCTGAGAACATCGTCGGGTTTGCATATATGTCTCATGTTTGGATCGCAATTACGGCCATTTGAAATGGAATCACCTTGTTGCGACTCGCAGTTTCCCTTTGTGGTCATTGCAGGTATATCAACATTAGAAGCATCCTGTATCCCTCCAGCTTCCATCTAATAAATGCATGAGAAGGCTGAATGAATGTTTACAACTTCAAGTAAAGTGAACTAAATTAAATTCTACTTTTTCTATATTATAACTCTTGATTATTAAAAAAAAAAAAAAAAAAATTATACATGATTTTTCATCCAACGGATAGAGTCTATTGCTTTCAGATTTTATGTGCACTGAAAAGCTAGAATGCTACCGGAGCTATAGTTAAAGCATCTCTCGAGATTTTATGTTCACTGAAAGCTAGAGTGCTACCGAATTGAAAATATATAGTTAAAACATCTTTCAAGCTCCAAAGCAATACAAAAACAAGCTGAAAACAGCTCCTCCACATGTATATGTAAGATCAACAGATTTCTCAATACTCCGTGACGAATAATCTAAAAGAAAAGACGATTACAGTGCAAACAAACGATTATATAGCTAAGCCATTCCGATAAATGATAATATATATATGTATGAGATAAATTTCAGAGATTAAAGGAAAGAGGAGAAGTGTATATATAGATATACCTTCGGAATCGGAGAATCTGCAACTAAATATGAGAGTTTCGAAATGAGATTATAAGATTGAAACGAACGGCTCGCTCTGTTCGTCGGTATATTTGATTGATCGCAACGAAAAATGGTTTAGTCTCCAATCGTATGTTTAAAACGTACTCCTTCGATTCAATGTCTGAGAAGGAGCTTCAAGCGGCGAGGTGAAGACTCTTGATACGTAAAGCGAGGGACATATATGTCATTGCGTGCCGTGACCATGTTTGATGAATTTGTCCTCTATTTTTAGTTTGTTGATACAACTATTTTGGTTTAATTTTACTTACAAATATTTTTATGCATGATATACCAACAATTTGAAATTCAAATCATATCAAATATACTCCTATACAATTTAAGAGGATCCCTCAAAAAAAAAAAAAAATACAGTACAATTTAAGAGGATTATTTGTATATAATCTAAATTAGTTAAAAGTTATTATATCACACTTTTTTAAAATTTTATATTATATTTTGTAATTTTGTAATATAGAGCGCGAGATAAAATGAAAACATAAGTTATTCTTGTTTTAAAAAAAATAATTCAGTTATTTTAATATAATTTAATTTAATGTTGTATTTGTGTGCATAAATACATCCAATATATCCACATATAAAAACAACATGTCAATTAACTTTCCATAAATGAACAAACAGTAAAAGCACAACATGATGCCTTCGGTATAATTTCAAAAACAAATGCAAGCTTTTGAAGTTTTAGCAATGACTCGAGTCTTGACAGCCACCTTGAGCTCAGCTCTAAGCCTTCTTCAGTTCTTCTTCACCACGTCTGCCTTTCTCACTTCAATTTCAATAATATTATTCTTTGTCCACAAAAGACAAAATTCCCTCGCCCAATAGTTTTTACACCTCGGCCAACAAAATAATGGAATGATAAATCACGATAATTCGACTCATTAGATTATATAACTAGTGCTTGGAGCCCACCATATAGAATATATCTCTCACACTACGGGAGTCATGATTCAATTATGTATCCTTACAATCTACCATCCAAACGATTCATATTTTCGTATTTTTCCACAACCAAATGATTTTGATTTCATAACTTTTTTTTTTTTTACAAAATTTAAAAACCTCACATAATTTTTCGTATTTTTTCAAGTATAAACTTCTTATTTTCCTCAAACTATTTGAATTTCACTTGACTAAACTCATTCCCACCCAAATAAGACTTGACTCACTTCACTTTATTCAATTTTATTATAACTTCTTGCTCCTTTATCTCACAAATCCCTCCAAAACTCCACAATTTTTACCCTTTTTGAACATCCATATAACCTTGTTTCCTTCAAACTCATATATATCTCAACTCCTAACTTTATCGTTGATTAATTTGGAGTATGACTTGTATAAATCTTCTCACGTGTTTTGAAATTTTTAGAAGTTAGCTCCAACTCAATCCTACGTTAGCACAAAACATCTAAGCTTGTAACAAACTAAATGTTAAGTTGTTAGTAGCAACTATTTTTCATGTTCTTTTCTCCTTGAGTTGTGTGTATTAATCTTATATTATGTAAACTTAGCTTGTTTGACAGCTAATCATGTTCTTCTCCTTTCTTCTTTGTCCATAATTCTCGCTTTCAATTATATATGTAGCTAATTCAACATGGTATTAGAGCTCTAATGCCCAATAATTGTGTGGTATCCTCCATATACGAACATGGTTCGACAACAATAAGTGTTAACCTCGAGTTCACAACTAGCGCTCGGTGATAACCACTTCCTTGCCTCTACGATGACGAATATTGTTGTCATTCTTAGAAACAACGTTATAATTTTCATCAAGTTATTTGATGTGAAGTTAATTTAGTTATGGTTTTGTGATACATCTAACCATGTCTCATTCGCATAAACAACAACACAAAACTCAAGAGTCCCATTATACAAGTTAGGTTGGTGTACTAATAAAAGAAAACAAGAAACTCGTGCTATAATGTGAATAAACTTTATGTTTTAGGGATTTAAAAGTATGTTTTGTTTTATAACTTTCAAGATCGGCTGAGATGGTGTTAGCAATAATTGAACTCTTGACCATCTAATGTGATTTATTTTTATTGTGTGGTTTATAAACTATTACACAAAAATGAAGTTTACTTAATGCATACTCTCGAATAATAGTGACATTTGGTCCTTGCTATTAAAATGTTATAATTAAGTGCATGACTATATAATTTGTATCACATTTGGTCATGCCGTTCAATTTTCCAACCAACTATTGCCGGATTCCGAAAGGGGCACTGTATTTGCTTCTTCCGGAAATAGCACTTTGCCACTTCTTGTAATAGTTGGCCGGAAAATTAGACGACATGACTAAATATGATACAAATACATAGTCATGCACTTAATTAGAAAATTTGAATCGTCAATGACCAAATATGATTTAAATGCAATAGTTGAGGACAAAAAGTGAATTTTATTCTTTTAAGAAAGTTATATTCATTCTAAATATTTAGATGATGTGTGAAATTAAAAATGTGAAAATTAGGACCAACCGCAGCCCTGGACTTGAATTTGGTAATGTTAAGAAAGCATGGCCCAAGTAGGGAGGGCCAGTATCATCGAGAAGTCGAAGATCGCTAAGCATAGCCATCTCTCAAATCAAATCTGATCTTCATCTTCTTAAGGTATGCTCTCTCTTCCCATAAATGTTTACATAACTACACATTGTGATTGTCTGCCGTAATTTTGATATGAACTTTGGTACTCCACTTAGGAGAGGTGATCGGAGATTCAAAGATGATTGTCTGTGTCGCCGTCGTCGGACACCAGGTACTACGCCGTCTTAGATCGTTATTTCATCCTCATTCAGAACCCGCCAATTTAATTGATCGGTACAATTTACTTGTTCATTCTTTCTCCCCTGAGCAGAACAATCCGCTGTATATACAGAGCTTCACGGAAGCTGACGACGCCCTAAAGCTTCATCACATAGTCCACTGCTCTCTTGACGTTGTTGACGAAAGAGGTTTTCTATTAGACTGTTATGCATTTATCCACAGACACGCACCAATCATTTCCTTTTACTGCCCCATAGCTTTATACTATAAAAAATTGATGGGATGTTTAGTCAATCCTAGATTTCGTTAGCTAGTCTAACTGAATCAGACTCATGGATGTGTGTATTCATATTTCTTTTCAAACGAAATTGAAAGATAAATTACTTTTATTCAACTTAGCAGTTGCTGTTGTGTGCTGATGAACAAAATATTAGCTGTCCTGCTGTTTCATTACCACCCTAAAGATAAGGGGCTCTCATTTCAACTATTAATTAAGGCACATTATGCACATAAGCAGAGTTGGTTCTTGCACTATGTAGTGTTGAAAGAAGGTATGCTTTAAGTTGTTTGATTAGCTAGAAAGGATTACCTATTAGGTAAAGAGAAGTAATCAAGCAGTAATTAGACTAATATCTTTGATGAATATTTGGGAGTTGCAACTCATTATTTTTAAATATCAAAGAACTGATCTTTCAGATTTGTTTCAATAGAAAACTTTACTTGCATCTTTTATGGGTATGTTTTAGAGTGAAATTTTATTCTCAGTTGTGGTCTTACATAATAAAGATGCTGTATGATGAAGCAGCATCAAATAACATTTATAATCTCCATATCATAAATATGCTCAGGAGATATTGAGCCCCTGCACTTTTATCAAGCTCTTGCTTTTGGCAATCTGAGGTTAGAATTAATCCTTTTATCATTGATTAATGATTTGTGCATTTCCTATGCAGTGAACAATCCAAAAAAATCTGGCCCGACATTGAACGAGACATTTCTTGGTCTGCTATACCCAACCGAAAACTACAAAGTGTGAGTATACATGTTTGCCTGGTTACATGTGCCTTTTGCAATGGTTGCAGCACAAAGAGCGTTCTCCTTTTTAATTCTTATGCTCTTCCATATTATTTGGAAGTAATGTTGGTGGCTTATAATAATCATGGACATTATAAATTTTCTCTGAAATGAACCATATGTAGCTAATGCCATGACTTATTCAGGTATGGCTATTTGACAAACACGAAGGTGAAGTTCATATTAGTGACAACAGATCTTGATGTTCGTGATGCAGATGTGAGAAATGTAAGTTTTATTTTGCCCTGGTTCTCTTCTTTGTACGTTGTTTTGATTATTGAAGTGGGGAAACATTGCCCTTGCTCTATATGCATACTCCCTTTTTTTCTTTTCCAGTGTTTTGGATCAAGATTTTTTTTTTTTTTTTGTACTACTTGGGTTGGAAGAAAAGCCAAAACAGTTTACCTACATTCTTTCTGACTCCTCAAGACTTTAATGATTTATTTCTTGGAAAAAGGAGTCGCTTGCATTAGGTAAAAAGCTGGATTTTTGTGCTTTTAAGAGAATGTCTAACAAGCTAGTTCTGTTAAATGTGAATATGGTGTCATTTATGCTAAACTCTGGAATCATTGTGATTTGCAAAATGTGTAGAAATTTTGGATATCTTATTGGAGCATTATGTGACTGGAAATGAACTTCAACATATGGGAGTGTTGCTTTTTATTTTCTTATCCTTCCACCTCATTTCTTTTTTGTTGGATGTTTAAAACATGCCAGCTTGCTTACCTTTATTTTATGGGTGATGAAATCACCTGTAGTTTTTCAGGAGATTCCATGCTGCATATGTGGATGCAGTTTCAAACCCATTTCATGTTCCTGGTAAGAAGATAACATCAAGGACCTTTGCTGAAAGTGTCAGCAGTATTGTCAAATCATTTGGTTTGAGCTCCGCATGATTACAAAGACATTTGCTCACCTCCAGAGAGAGGAGGAACAACATGGGTCCTTTGTGACCACTGTACTTGCAATTTTCATTTGATTTTATGTTGATAGTCCCAAGCACAGTACTTGCTTCATACTTATAGTGATTACATGTAACAATTGTTGGGTGAAGGTAGCTTATCAGAATTTATAGTTTGGTTTCTTCAATTTGCAATGGTTTGGTTATTCTGGTTATGCAATTTTAATTTAATTAATGTTTTCGTTTTGACCTTTCAATGGTGCTAAGTGCATATAATGTGGACAATTTCACTTGCATTCTCATGAACAAGTAAACTAAACATTTTTTTTAAAGGCCCAACAGCCCCTGAGGATAATTTGTTTGAAATGAGTATGCAATTATGCCAACAAACAAGCCTCTGAATGTA